TCGCCCCCACCCTCCCCCCAGTAAAGACTCAGTCCCCTCCGTCCATTCATATCTGGCTACACCCCTGAGAATACCAGCCCCAACATATTCATTTTGGCAACTGTACTTCATCTTATCATGTTTTGAGACTGGGGGGAAATCTGAGACCCTCTGACAAGAAGAACCAGCAAATCCCCCCCCACACAGAGCCAAGGGCAATGAATCGAACCCTAGTCTTCAGAGATGTGAAGCAACCATGCTGACCACAGCACCACCATGCTGCCCAAGGTAGAATACATGCCTATTAATCATATGAATAGATTCACTACAGAAGTACACTTCAAAACAACTAAAATCAGTTGCTTATAATTCAGGCCTTTGAATTGTATACACTGAAGAACTGGTATTCTGCAAATTTAACATCTTTTTTATTCAATGTTTAGACTTTTTTGTCATGCTTCAAGACCATATGTCAGGTGAACATAAACGTGAAGGTTCAGTTGTGCTGGGGCAAGCTGAGAATCGTTTAGGGAAGTCTCAGAAAATCCACATGGGCAGGGATGGCACTATGGCCTTGACCAGAATCAGCCATGAGTCTATGACTTTTATTGTTTGATTGCACTCAGTTGTAGGTAAAGAAATAAGTCCATCTGCAATGAGACATCAAGTGTGGGAAGCAGCCTGAGCTGACACAGCACTGCAGTTTGCAGCCAGAGGTCACATCCATTCCTCAAAGTCAGGTGGGCGTGCGGGTCAGTGACCTGCCTGCTCTGCACCACACCTCACCTTCCCCGATAGCCACTGCTCTTCTGGCTTATCCACACCGCATTAACACCTGGTGACTCTGTGCTGGCCTTTGGACCACTGTAAAATACTCCAGGCAAGCAGTTATCCACATGAAATGCATTCATTTTCTTACATAATTCATATACTCTAAGGTTACAAAAAAGCATACAATCTAAAAAGTTTAGTCATCGGAATGTTCTTGTCCTACATTGATAGCATAAATACCTATCGATAATACTTCTAAACTGCTTAATAAAAGGTATATTTAGGACAAATTTAAAAGGTTTCGAGCCTTAAACTAACTGATATATCAGTCTGCGTACAGTCTTCCACATAGAATGCACTGTTATGCATGACTGAGGTCCTGTTCATTTGAAACCTGTACTAGGTAACGTTAAGTGGATGGTGAAGTTCAGTCTGAACACAACACCAGTCCAGCTCCAGGTTCACACACACAAGAACTGTAGGAACAACCTGAGCTTCATCATCTTCCCTTCCAGAGAAAACTGGAAGACTCATGGAAATGCCCAAATAAACACTGGAGGAATGCTCAAAGAGAACAGGCACCTAATCCTGCAACCCTGTTGCTACCTACAGCATATGGCACAGAGAGGGCTACCAAACTAATTAAAAACTACACAAAATGTGTAGTTTTTCAAATGGCTTAAGGATCTATAGGCATGGGTCAGTGGCCTGATCAGTCGTCTCACACCTCCCAGGATGGGGGGACTAAATCCCACCTTGGCTCTGTATGTGATTTGCATGTTCACCCCATGTCACATGTCTCCACTGTGTTCCGCTTTTAGTCTAAAGACATATAATCAGGCTAATCAGTGTCTCTAAATTGTCTGTAGTGTGTGTGCCCTGTGATGGACTGGCACCCTGCCCAGGGTCTCCCCTGCCTTATTCACTATGCTGCCTGTGATAGGTTCTGAACCCCTCCCAAACCGGTCCTGGGTAAAGAGTGGGAAATTGGACTGATATAAATCAGCTATTAGCTATTATTTTCAGCTGTCTGTATTATTTTAGTTGGACCGCATGAATATCCATCCATCCATTCCTGTAACTGCTTACCCTATAATATAGGGGGGGGGGGGGGGGTCTGAAGCCTATGGGTATAAGCCAGGGAACAACCCAGGATGGGGGTTAGTCAAACACCAGTCACTCACACATATGGGCAGTTTGGTGACTCCAATCAGCTTCAGCATGTTTTGGGATTCTGGGGGGAAACCAGAGAACCCAGAGGGAACCTTATGATGACACTAAGAGAACATGCACACACACACACACACACACACACACACACGGGGCCGTAGTGGCAACTGGAACCTGGGTCTCAGAGGTGTAAGGCGACGGTGCTAATTACTGTGCCACCGTGCCAAGCCCCTGCTTAGATATATATTTTGAAAATAGCAATTACTTTACATTTCTGAATATGCTATCTTATGCGTTTGAGCTTATGTAACTTAAATTAAGACAATTAAAAATAACTCGAAACACATAAACAAAAGACATGGCATTTGCATTTATGCACATGCAACAGTAGTCCAAACAGCTTTTCTTTCGAAGGTGAAACCAATCCTTTTCCTAGTTTCTTAGCACACCTCGGCTATACAACCAAATATTTAGTCAAACAAAATGCAAATTTTAGTTATATATTGCGTAAATTTCAAATTTTCCTAATAATTTGAACATTAACTCAAGTGTAACTATAATCACATGTAATTTGCAAATCATGTCATCGTTTCTCTGCCTTATTAGAAACTTCCAGCCTGGAAGAAAATGCTGGAAACAAAACGACGGAGGACTTCAAAGTTTTGAGAGCACCAAGTTATCCCCGCCTTACTACAAGATAATAACAACAGATAGCAAGTTGGAGGGCAATTAACTAGGCAAGACCGCCCGGAGATAACAATGGATAACAAAACGCTCGATCTGCATGACAAGTAAATCGGTAAGGTTATTTTAGGTTTAAGAGACAGGGCGAAGCCGCGTACAGAATTCCGAATTAACTTTCTTTTGTACTGACGCCTCCTTTGAACTCTCACCAAAAGAACTGTTCATTCGTTTCACCTGATATTGTCGCGATTTTCTAGCATTTAGCAAACCTGATATGTGTGCATCTAGGCTAGTAGCCTACAGAAATTCATCATTTGATATAAAGAGTACAAACATATGCAACAATGTGCCCTTATAGACATATTGTGTGTGGTACAACATTCGGTAAATTAAACATTAAAATCTAACGGTTGTTTAATTATTATACATCTACTGGGCTTCTACTGATAGGCTTAAGTAAATCCAAGAAATAATTAAATACTATCAACAGAATAGATTCTGGGCAAAAATATTTAAAAAACGCTCAGTTGCCATGTATCTTCAAAGCTTATCCTGGGGGCTTTGTTATACGTATGTTGTAAGTATATTATATTATATAGCTTTATTTAATATGTTTTTAGATAATCATTCTATATTGTTTCTGCGCTGTTTTAAATGCACTTAATTGTACTATGTAAATTACTAAACTAAGTTTTTAGATAAAGTATGTTTTTTATATTTTATTTTTTGAAAACGGTTTTAAAGGCTGGTGCGGGGGAGGGCTGCATCCGTTCAATCGAACAGGTGCACATCCTTGCGCCAAGTATGGACACAGAACAGGTAGGCTACATGATATAAGCGGCAACACATTTATCCTTTAATAATTGCAGCACTTTTTCCAGCCTCAGGTATCACCACGACAAAATAGCATGGCGTAAATACTACAGCATATAATCTCTGTTCGTTTAGACTAGAGCGCGGTTCATTTCATAATATTAACCCTTAAAACCCTTTAAAAAACAGAAATGAAAAGGTAAGATATGCAGAAGAATTCCCATGCGTATGATCGCCTAGTTATAAACTGATTATAATGGTCTTACATAGGTCTGTTATGATTGTGTTATTATGAAGATCTTGACCCGGTGCATTACCTGGATTACATGGTGTCGCACTGCGCCTCATCCACTCGTAGGGGTTTCTTCTTTGTGAATTTGGTGACAGCTGACCAACAGGTGCATTGATGGCTGGTGGGAACAGCCCCTGACTCTGCGGCTGAACCGCGGTAAATTCCGGCGTGTTGAAGCTTATTTGTCCGGGATTTGACGTGGAGGGCCCCGTCCCTGCTCCATAGTGGGACCACTCCTCTCTCGGTGGGGCGTAAGTCGGGTTCCAGGTGCCCGTGGCTTGGCTGTGATGAGAATCATTGCTTATTCCTGGGACGTGATGGTACCCGGTAAAATCCGTATACTGTGGAGGTGCAGGGACATAGTTCTGATGGTTTAAGTTCAGGCTCGAGTGCCTCACGGAATTTGAGTACATCCCGGTGTCTTTCTCCAAAAGGTAACTCACGTACATCTTCCCAAGACACTTGTCCTTCGCATAATGTGGCTGCAAACAGTAATCGGTGTGTCCCAAGTGCCGCCCTAAGTTTTTCTTTAACCAAAGTCCCCTCTCCTTCCTGGACGGCTTACCGTACCTGTATGCTTTAACTTCTTGTTTGCCAAACTCGTCGCCAGTTTAAAGGAACCACCATGACGTCAACTTTTATAGCGCCTGACTTCCCTCTCTCATTAGGGAGGATTTGCATTGAAAGACGGGCCTGCATTTCAAAGGCTGTCAAGTTGCTGGCATCAAAGCGACATCCAACTTGAAACAAAGGAGCGTCACAAATCGTATAGGTGATACCTACAAGAGTTTATGTTGATCTTCGAAACGGGACCCCGTCTTTTTATTACCCACGAGCACCGTTTTTTTCCCCCTGAGTCTTTTTTACTTAAGTAAAAAAAAAAGTTAACTTATTTTAACTTTTTAAGAAACGTATTTGAATAATACGCATGATCACATGTTAGATGTTTATAGGCGACTACTAAGTTCTTCACTTTAGTTTTAATTAAAATCTGTAAAATTACTACCAGTCGTTAGGTCATTTATTATAATTGTATGTAAATAATTAAATGATAATACGAATGAAACTTGCACGGTGGCATTTAAATAAGACCTAGTTTTGGGGCGAAGTATACGAAGTAACTTAGGAAAACGCATTTTCTCTGCTAACGGAATTTAATCGTAACTCACCTATTTTGGCTATGAAGCTAAATTTTCGAAATACGTGTTTTGTTACGTAACGTTACAAAATACAACAATGGCAATGGCAGTAAAATGTGGTGTTTAGTTATTCTCAAACAATTGCACTCAACGAAGGAGGTGAAAAAGTTAAAATCTTTGCCCTGCAACTCAGTGTTAATTTTACTCAGCTCCATTAATGTGCAAAAGAGACATCAATGTCTATATTTACTTGCATTTAGCACTTGAAAATGGCCATTTTGTGGACGGGAAACACCACCAGTGCCAGTTACTATAGAAAGTGGTCCTGGCTCCAGCAGTCTCCTGCACCTGTGGGAGTGCAGCCTTGCTGGCTGAGGAAGATCTTCACACCTCCCCGAGAAGACTCCCCCCAGAAGTGCTGTCATTGTGTCGGCCCGCTCTCTCTTGTATGGCCCAGCTTTTGTTGCGCTCCAGCGCTGCTGGTGACACAAAGGGCTTGTAATGACGCTCTCCTTCATTCTGAGGCGACCTCAGCCTTTCTGTCTGCTGCATCGCGCGCGTCTCTGTGTGTTTCTATATGCACGCGGAAAACATCCCAGGGCTTCGGTGACATGCAGAGGGGTCGGGGCTGGGAGACAGCTGGGAGAAGACGGGCAGAGGGCTCGGGGGAAAGTGGGGGTGTGACTCAGAGGGTAGAGGTCAGCAGAGGTGTGAACAAAGTGGCAGATTTCAGCATTAGGCAGCTGAAGCTGGGCAACTGTCATCCGACAGGTAGCTACCTCCAGTGCCTTAGTGCCAAAGTGATGCACAGATGCAGATGTAGCAGATCTGAACTTGTTTTTTTTTTTTTTTAAGTTCCAATGAGTTCTGCCTGGCAAGCAGCTTCAGTCAGGGAGGGAGGAGGCACGACTTGGGAGGATGGTTCAAAGTGGCGGCTCTAGCGTGGAAAGCCACACTTAACACTGGGGTGTCACTTCCTGAGCGAAAAGACAGGAGTCCAGGCACAGAGAGTCACGGAGCCTCCGTAGGCCCACTGCTCTAGTATGAAAAGCACACTGAGAAACTGCAGGCATTAAGGTCAGCACATACTCAACAGTCATCCATTATACTGCTTTGTCCATTAGGTTCGGATACATATTCATGCAAATAAACATGGGCATATATAATGAATCAAACAAGCACTGTGGTATATTATTACATGTATCAATAATTAATGTATTATAATAATAATTATAATTACTAATTTGGATGTCTAATTTGACTAAGGCTAGCATGCTTAGGAAGGTGCATGACCGTCGCTCACCAGAGACATCATATAAAAATGAAAACAAATACATTTTGTGCAGTATTTATTTTCTATGTGGAAAAACTTCAAATTTAGATAACACTATATAAATGTATTTTATATATTTATGTATTTCAAATATTTTTATTTTATATTATCTTATGTTTATAATATACAATTATTTACAAGAATATACACCATTTGGATCTATGCATTTCTGTAAATAAGTGTAGGCCTATATTTGTATACGTGTACACAGAAATATTCACAGGAATGAACATGTAGGACTACACATCCAAGAAGGATTTATAAATAGTGGATGAAGCAACACTGATTGGTCGAGCGCAGTATGACAAATGCAATAAATAGGGCTACATTACTTCAGGCACGTAGCCACGTATTAAAATAACAGCTTTTAACGCACACTGCCCCCCCCCTTCCCCGACTTTTTCTTGTCACCGATCAAGCACGCAGTCAGTGACCCCCCCACCCCCTCGAAATATGCTTTATCTCCCCAGTTTGCGAAATCTACCGGATCCCCCACCAAATTAATTTCTGGCTACAGAGCTGCATTATTTTATGTAGGGTATATTATCAAAGAAGAGTCTTTAAAGAATGAAAAATAATTATAATATATAATTTAAATAGTATAGCGACACCATTTGAAGGGAAAGATGTTGTTCTTGAGAAAAGCTGGTGTACTGTATAAAAATAAGATGACCAAAGATGTTGTTAGGTAAGCATTCGATAATAAGACGTTTAGATAATAATTATATTACGCTGACCTTTCTGTGTGCATCGAATTTGCCGTAAACTTTAGCACAGCCGTATACATATGGGAGGAAAGCTGTAAATCGTAATTTCTTATACATATTTCGTATTAAAATGTCTGACTATAGTTTATTATAATTTTCTTTCATGATCACAACGTTTAATAATATTTATACATTTATACATTTATATTGGTATATTATGGTCGTATTTAGATTTATAAATTGTCACTGTTATTTCAACGAAATTAACTTGGCTACATTCTTATTTTTAGGCATTGATTAGGCCTATTTATTAAATTTCCTGTAGATGATAGCAAATATTTTAATATATTTAATCTGTCGCTTTTAATGTATACAGGTATTCTTACGTATCTTTTAAAGTTTATTGATTAAATATATTATTGTTTATTGTATCACATTATTTTCCCCAAATTAAGGACCTGGAATAGGAGATGAAATTGGAGCATACATTATATTTTTATCATTATGGTCAAATAATCTAATTATGCATAATTTTGTTTTCCATTATCGTTATACCAGTCATCAGAATACTGCATGCAAATCTACGAGCGGGGAGATCGAAAAAATATTTCTTTGATAAATCAATGAAGACATAATTAACCATGTTGGCGGTAAGCAGACACGCGCCAGTGCCACCACATGCAAGCGGACATTTACCCGCGCTGAAGGAAACAGAGATCGAGTCACAACCGCAAGATTAACTATAGCGGGAAATTGCGGTATGCTGAGGAAATCCAGAGGAAGAAACAAAACTCATACAAACCTCACACATGTGGAAATGGGACTGTATAACAACAACAACAATAATAATAATAATAGGCTAAAACCTCTAAAATTATTGCAAAATATGAATGTGCATCAGCAACTTTTGCCTTGTTTCAGGAAAGACGTTTCGTGTTTCAAATGTATTTGTGAGTAGGTTGTGTATGTGTTCTGTTAAATATTTAAACTCTTAATTTATTGGCCTATTTAAAATTTCATTATGCACTTATGCAAGTACTAATAGAACTGCTACGTATTTTAAATGGAGACGTTTGATCTCCATGTGTAATTTTAATTTATAATTTATTAATAATTAGCATTTTGCTTTATAATATTAAGCGATTTAAAATACATAATTAAAATATGCGCGTAAAAATTGTTATATATTTTCACATCCATTTATGCAAGGTATTTTGTAATTTTTAAATAAATCTTATTGGCCTTCGGTTTAAGAAAGAAAATGAGTAGTGGTGCTGTTACATTTGTAATTTAATTTATTTACGAACTGTAATACGAACATGCAACTTGTGAAGTGAATTTTTAGCGCCACCCAATGTTAACTTTACAAAAAAGGCATTGACATTGATTATAGCATACAATCGAAATTGAGACTGCACACCTGGCCTGGTAAAGTTTCAGAGCAATATTTGATAGTTTAACACGGGGAATTGAAGTAGGAGGCTGTAAGAACGCTAGAAGATCGGAAAAGTTAATCTCACAAATTATCACATATTCTGTTTATTTCCAGGATATTTTATTAGTGTACTGTTGGCACTACAGGCAGCCCCCCTGTTAAGAACTAACGAACAGACAGCTCGTACTTACGAATGGACTACCATAAAAAATAAAAATTTAGGTTAAATGCAAAGGTTCGTAATAACCATCGCACGTGCTACTTTGTGACGCTTGTGAAAATATTCAGCGGTTCGCCGGCTTGAGGTACAGTACAGCACCATGTGTAGTTATTTTTTTTATTACTGCATAATTATTATATTTATTATGTACTGTACGTGTTAATATGCTTCCGACTTAAAGGCAGATTTATAGAAATGATCTCGTTCTTAACCCGGGGGCCGCCTAAACAGTTACTTGTTTGCATCTTGCTTGTTTGTCATTCGCACATTATTATTATTATTATTAATAATAATAATCATAAATATTTATTTTTTATGTCACTTGTTATTTCTGAATTTCAGTTTTTTTGTACAATGTGTACGTTTTAAATCCGTGTGCAGTACGTTTACTTTGTACTACGTGTCCTTCTTTTGCACATTGTCTGTTTGGCACGTTATGCATGTTCGTCTGTACCCGTTCTTGCACGTATATGTACCAGACTTTTTCAATAAAGCGCATCTTAATCTTAATTTAAGAAGTGGCATATGAGTACAGTCAATATGTGATATAAAAAACATGAGTTTTATATATAAACTAGGCTATACTATGTTATTATGACATTCATTACTATACTGTTAAACTTTAAAAGACGTTTACATAATTACTAGATAATTAATATAA